CCTCACAATTTCATCAAAAAGTGTTTAAAATCGAGTCATAACACCAACAACAAGCCATCATCAAAGACCGCATGAAAATTCATCCCACCATGCATAAAAAATATCTCTGAAATAACAGCTAGAATATTAAGATCGTTTGAAATAGATATGTCACACAAGTCAGCACAGTCCCTTCAATCGATATTGTACACACCGAAAAATCCAACAGAAGAAGAAGAGAAAATTAATACCATTTGGAGGATAGAATATATGAACATCCATAAAAATTATATCGGTGAAAGTGGACGTCCCACTCGAATCCGAATTGAAGAACACAAATTGGCTGCATAAAAAGACATGATATATATTCTTTCATATCAATGCATGTAGATAATTACGGACACCAGCTGGATGATTGGCATAATGTAGGAATTTTAACTGGAGGAAACACCAGACCATAATGCCTGGGAATTTGTAGAAGCTTGGTACTCAAATGAATCAGCCAGCAATGAACAAACACATTACCTCTATAGACTTAATTTACCAACTAATAAAATGTAAGTCATCACATGATAAGAAAGTTCAAATTCCAAGTCAACAAAAGTGATCAATAGAAACGTGAATCGATAACCATTCACTACAATGGTTATCAGTATATCCTCGTTCTTGAAGAATTCAGGTAAGTTCAATTCATGCTAAAACCTGCTCTGAAGCGATGTTGTTGTTTAGAAGGGGGACAACGAAAACTTCGCAGTTAAACCATCAACCAGTTCAGAAAGAGAACACAAGTAACAAAAACCAAGTCAGTTCAAGTGTTGGTTTGTAGGGACAAATACTCGCCGAAGACATTGGTTAGCGGTCGCGCTATGTCGTGCGTGAATTGGCAGAAGTTAGAATTCAGGCGCTGGCTTGCCTTTCGATCGGATCTCAGTGGCTGGCTGAATGGTCTACGAGCTAGCTAGCCTTGTAACCAGAAGGTCCTGGGTTCGAACCCTTGCTGTGGGTGTGTACTGCTGAAGAGTCCCAAACTAGGCGGAGGAAACAGCTGTCCAGTACTCCCTGCAGGTTTTCCAATGGTTCTCTAACCAATGTGTCAGCTCATGATGAAATCCTGTAAGCAACCAGGTGAGTTATTTAGAATTTCAACTAAATTTAACTCTAAAGGCTAATTATACTATCATCTAATTTGTATATCACAGAATTTCAAGTTTTATAAAACCCACATCTTCCCTTATTATCTGTAAATTACTGCCAATTATAAGTCAGCAATTAGCTTTGATTCACACCTACGTTTTTCGGTGAACACTTTCAGAAAAGTATGTATCGACTTTGATAACACACAAATAAGTAGTACATAGAGTTAAAATAAAATTTTTTAGAAAATGTCAAATATCTTTACAGCTTAGTATATCTAATTAAGAGTGAACCTTTTAACACGTAACAGTCATTACCAAGGTCGTTGAATTCAATTAATTCCAGCTGTAACACGCAATTGGTATTACTATTTGAAAAATATGATTGGAAATAATTATATTTTACTAACTTACAATGAGTTCAATGTGTCCAATCGTTTTTACTTTAACTGTTATGTACAAGATAGTTAGAATTAATTATGACAAATGTATTAGATTTTTAGGGCATATATCTTTAGGTGTTAGAAATTAGCGAATCTATTCTTACCCTGGATAGAGGCAGAAATTTACGGTATGCCGGTGTGTACACTGGCATTTGGAAATACCACCCACTATCTTGAATTAATTATCTCTTATTATAAAGTTGATAGAATGACTTTCTCTGCAAGGTTTTAAATTATTTTGACATTTATCTTATAATACTATTAATTTATTTTTATTTTTTTTATTTTGATAGATTCTATAACTCCTAGTAATATAAAAATATCTTTTTTTCTCCATTTCTGTTTGTTTCGAGTAGAACATAAGGCTGCTAGTTTGAAGCTTTGATGATTTTAGTAGCCATGTTGTTGATTTCACGGATCAGGGTTGTTAGTCTCACTCCTGAACTTTCCTCTTTACGGAGCTTTCTAATAGCTAACGAACTAGGCTGGGCACAGTGGGCGTGGCTGGCGTATACCGACGCTAAATATGTCTGGGGCGGACCTGTCGGGAGGATCGCATACATATATGATAAACTTCGCTCCAAACCATTGGATACCGTACTAACTTATCGCTCCTGGCAGATCTGGTGACAAAGTGTCACGAGAACACCATCAGAGTATAGGAAACGCTATTTCAGTCACCCCATTTTTTCGAAGATTCGAGGGAGATATATACAAAAATGTTATATGCTGAGCGACTCTTCTACTTGTAACAAAACTGTGTGGTATAATTCCGCTTGTGGAGACTGCAATTTCAGTTTCTTGAGACCAAAAGTTATTTCATAATTATTCAGAAGTGGCTTTCTAAGTGAAAATGAAAGTTGTAAATTATGTGGTACTCAATGGCACAGAGGTAGAAATTTGATAAGGTTAAAATTGCTATTGAGTGAAAATAAAGGTGGCTGTAGTTGAGTGTCCATTTAACAAGTGTGAAGAGGGTGTGAAAATGTACGAAAGGAATATATGAGAGTGATAACAGTGAATTAATTATTAAAGTAAAATAAAACTAAAAAACAAAATTTAAAAATTAAAAAATTAAAAATAATATATTTTACAGGGAATGACCAGTGAAGAGGTTAAGACCAAGGAAGAATAAAAGACTGGACAAACATTTTCTGTATACATAGTCCGGGGTCAAACTGTACAAGGGGTGTCAGGTTTCGGAAATTTGTATGGCGGAGGCGTTGGAAATTCGTCAATACAACCCTGAACTCTGTATATAGAAAAAGGTTTGTCCAGTCTCTTATTCCATTATGGTCTTAACCTCTTCACTGGTCATTCCCTGTAAAATACTTTATTAATTTGCAAATTTACTTTTATTCTTCTTTTACTTTAATAATTAATTCACTATTATCACCCTCATATGTCCTTTTTGTACATTTTCACACGCTCTTGACAATTTCTAAATGGACACCTATTACCTTTCTTCTCACTGAATAACATTTTTAACCTTATCGAATTTCTAACCCCTTCTTCCTTTGTGCCCTTGAGTATTCCGTAATTCACGACTTTTACTTTTGCAGCCACTTCTGAGCAATGTATCAATTATGTCAATTATGCCTTCGACAGCGTCGATCGGGAGGTGCTTTGGAAACTGCTTCGCTACTACGGGGTGCCACCGACAATTATACATCTCATCCAACAGCTGTACGACAATGCTACATGCCAAGTAATCCACAACGGGAAGCTTACGGAATCCTTCGAAGTAAGGACAGCAGTAAGACAAGCTGGCTGCCTACTATCGCCAATGATTTTCCTGATTGCAGTAGACTGGATAATGCGACAAACAGCGGGCAATGAGGAAACAGGCATAAAATGGACACACACAAAAAACTTGGAGGATCTGGACTTCGCCGATGATATATGTCTGATTTCCCACAAGCTGGAAGATATGCAAGCGAAAAGCAACAAGTTGGCAGAAGAAGCATCCAGGGAAGATAGGCCTTCAGGTGAACAGAGGTTATGATGAAGATTCCTAGGCAACACCACCAACAGCAACATCAACAACTGACAACAATCAGCATAAATGGGAGGAACCTGAAAGAAACAACCTCTTTTACCTACCTGGGAAGCGTCGTTTCAACTACGGGTGAACGGAACTGACGAGGATATCAAAGCAAGAATCGGAAAAGCAAGACAGGCTTTCACTACTCTCAAGTCTGTGTGGAGGTCAACAGCAGTCAGCATCAAAAATAACATCCGGATTCTCAACTCCATTGTAAAGTCAGTGCTACTATACGGATCAGAGACTTGCACTGCGCGTCATAAAGAGCATCTCAAACAAACTAAAGACCTTCATTAACAGCTGTCTTCGCTCAATACTCAAGATCAGATGGCCGGCCAGAAAAGATCAGCTACAGGGATCTCTGGGAGCGAACCAACCAGGAACCGATTGTGAAACAAATAGGCAGGACTGGACTGGCCATACTCTGAGGAAAGCATCAAGTGACATCACTAGACAAGCCATTGTTCGAGTGGAACCCGAAAGGGAAGCGGCGAGTTGGTCGTCCAAGGGTGACTTGGAGGATTTCTTGTGAAGAGGAGATGAAAGCGTGTGGCAGGCAGACTTGTAGCCAGGTGAAGACTCTAGCAGAGAACCAAACGCAATGGAGACGCACGGCTGAAGCCCTATGTTCCTCTAGGAATTAAAGGATACAATAATATAGTAACAATAATACTCAATAATAGACTATTATACATTTTCGATAACTATAAATAATGGATATGTATCACTCATTATTAATACTAAGTCAAAATTCTCGACTGTTCATATCTTCTTATAGAGACGTTAAGAAATGTTTTACAACTGTTTACACACACACACATGCACAGTCTGTTTAAAGTGTTTAACAAAGGTAGACCAATATTTGGAAGTCCGAGGTCAAATTTTGATCACAGCTCATACAATTTTGTTTATTATATATGCGGGTACCTGTTTAATGACTCATGATTCGACAAAGTTTTTAAAAACAAGAGATATTCCTTTTATATATTAACCTCTGTTATGTTAATTTCGATTAATTTCCCTGAAGAAGTTCGGACCAGATTGCCGAACACAGGAAACGTTGGAATTACTCATTTCAATCTCGCTGAGATTTTACAAATATAATTTTTATTAAATACAACTGTACAGCCTGTGAAGATGACTTCGTCAATAAAGAGAATTTTCTTCTCTGAATTTGTCTTTTATTTTCTTTATAACTCAATGGGTATTTTCGGTGATTTGCAGGTACTTCTAGCAGACTGTCTATCTCAGAGGATCATCACCTTCAGTACAAGGAATACCACTCATGTTGTCATTTGTTTATTACATTCTCTAAAACGGATCCCATTCGCATTTAAATAAAAATAAGACAGTATATTATCAAAATACTGACAGACAAATCGAAACCTTTTTTCCGCTTACCTGAGAACATGCTCTCAAAGCAACACGATATGTAGTTGATTGAAATAACCGCTTATTATTCACTTGTATTGCTTTTGCATACATATTACTATTACGATTATAGTAGTATGTACCAGTATCAACATTATTTTTAGCATGATGATTAGCAGCAACATCGCCATCATCATCTAAATCAGACGTAGGATGAATAAAATTCGCCATAGTATCTGTGGTTCGTCTTAAATCTTGGTGGTTTGGAAGTAATCTTTCGTAGGAGTGATTATTAATCCCCGTAGAATGTAAATAATTCTGAGGTTGTATAAAAAAGTTGTCCATCTCTTCACTACCTAATATCACTATAGCTGTATGCTGGTTTGTTTCAAATAAATTTGACGTATGACGTGCCATAGCTAAATACGGTGCTTGATTACTAGGCAGATCAATATTCTGTGAGAGTATTTTCAAGTCATATTGAGATGCATTAATACTTAAAGATTCTGAGGATTTAGAGTGAATTTTGCTGCTAGTACTGTCATCAGACATGATTGGGTTTAATTCTGGAGATACAATTATGTAATAATTATGGATAGGACCATTTTCTTCTGATACACGATATAATTTCATTTCAGTGATCAAAGTTGCACCCTGTGGATCTGATGGTCCTGAATAGATTGCCAGTATTTCTGGTGGTTTGACGTATTCTGGAGCTGTGGAGAATAAAAAACAAATAGTATAAAGAAAATGTGAAGTGATTGGAGAAAAAAGTGACTAATTAGAGAGTTGTGAAGAAAAAAAGACAACTAGGTGAGGAATTTTTTGTGTTACAGGATTTCACCATTAGTGGTCTACGAGCTAGCTGTCTTGTAAGCAGAAGGTCCTGGTTTCGAAATTTGGCGGTTATGAAGAGTCTCAAACCGTGGTGAAACAGCCGTCCAGTACTCCCAGGTTTTCCAGTGGTTCTGTATCCGATGTCAGCTCATGATTAGCTCCTGTAATATATCAATCACATCCCTGCAAACCAATACTTGAATATTTTCTTTATCGACCAAAATCATCTTCACGAGGCTGTACAGTCGTATTTATATTTACCAGAAATGTATAGTACCACATTGTTGATTATCAGGGTGGGAATGACATAATTGATATAACTGCTCAGAATAGGCTCCAAAAGTTAAAGTCGTGAATTAAGTAGTACTCAACGCCACACAGTTAGAAATTTGACAAGGTTAAAATTGTTATTGAGTGAGAAGAAAGGTGGTGGTAGTTGAGTGTCAATTTAACAAGTGTGAAGAGGGTGTGAAAATGTACAAAAGGAACATATGACAGTGATAATAGTGAATAAACTAATAAGAATTAAAACGAAAAATTTCAGGGAACGACTAGTGAAGAGGTTAAGACCAAGGCGGAATAAGGGACTGGAAAAACGTCTTCTGTATACGGAGTTTGGGGTTATATTGACGAATTGCCAGCGCCTCCGCCATACACAAAAGGCGAAACCTAACGCTTTTGTACCATTTGGCCTCACTTTGTAGACAATCATGAGAGACGACTCTGGTGGAGCTGTGTGGCTTGAGTTCACCAATTACTCGAGAATTGAGCTGGTAATTGCCTTACATTGTCATTTTGCCAACCATGCAGGATAATGTCCAGAGATGCGTTTGGAAAGTGTGTGCTTTGTGGGGCCAATCTAACTAGCTCCATAAGAGCATAAGAGTTTATAAACACAGACTGAAGTGGCCCAAAGTGGCGGCAGTTTATCCTTCACACATCTGTTGATCATTTGTTCGCTGTAAAAACTGTTCCGTAGCTCTTCCGAAAAGAAGACTTTTCTCAGTTATTTAAAAATCTCCGAATTTCCTCAGTGTTGATAAAAGGATTTCCATCGGCTCTCATGAAACAATAAGCACCTAAGTGTATTTGTAAATAGTTAAACTATGTGTAGTTAAATGGTGAATTTGTTCCCAAAGTATTGCGAAAATTTAACACTAATTATATGGTTTCAACAAATAAATGGCATTATCGGGGCTCAATTCGCCTGCGTCTTAGTCAAGCGAACAACCACGGGCGGATTAGAAACCCAACTTTATAGGAAATCAACTCACCTAGATCAAATACTGAGTTACAACACTGACAATCCAATAACACTTAAACGGAGTTGTATACAAACACTATTCAAGAGGGCCAGGACTCATTGCAGCACTCCCACCTTAGGGAAAATTCAAGAAAGATACCTCATGGACGTTTTCCAAAAGAATGGATATCCACGGAACTTCATCGAACAACATCACCCACGCCAACCTACCAAACCAAAAGCCCCCAACGAAAGCACAAAGAAAGTCACCATACCATATATAAAGGATATCTCAGAAATCACTGCAAGACTCTTCAAACCTTTAGGAATTGACATCGCACACAAACCAACAAAATCACTTCACTCAGCTGGCTCTGTGTCAACCAAAAGACTCAACAACGAAAGAAGATAAAACCATCTTCTTATACAAATTAAATTGTGACAACTGCTGAAAACACTACACTGGACAAAGTGGACGTCGTCTTCGTATCCATGAACATAAGCTGGCCATGAAAAGACATGACATCCACTCCCTCACATCACTACATGCATACAACCACGGACATCAATTTGACTGAGACAACGTTAAATATTAGACAGAGGAAACACCAAGAATACTAGAGAATTTTTAGAAGGCTGCCTGGTATTCCAGTGAATCGTCGATCAGCAGACACATCGAGATAGACAAAATTTATCAACCGATAAGAAAGAAACCTCATACACAATGGGTCAAAGTTCAAGTCAAAGAAGCAATCAGCTCCAATACAAGTAGCCTAGAAAGTGTGAAAACACACAAAAACAACCAAAGAGTCACGTCCAAGGTCACCGGGAGAGATGATTAATAAACTCGTGTCGAAATATAAAAGCTCACTTCAAATTGAAGTATGCGCTGAAGATGTCACCTAGTAGGGTGATGAAAGCTTCGCAAATTAACTATCCAGCTCAGAGAAATCCTAAAGTGTTTCATACACTTGTTTGCTCTGATAAATTCTGATTAAGAAAAAACAGATTTGCAGTATATAAAATTATATCACTCCACTTCACAGGTTCTCATCAGCTGCAGACCACTACCAGAAATTACAATGATTGGTTTTAAAAGAATGAAAGCAGCATACTTCATTGTTTGATGCACATATTATAGAAAATATTTGTAAAATTAACTCATCCGAAATGTAAGCATTACGAAATTTGCATAGAATCTGTACTGTTACTACTACTACTATTACTACAAGAGGAGGGGACTTTATTTCGAAAAATTTTTGTTGTTTATAATCGAGAAGTGAAATTTGACAGAACAAACACTTTTATGTGGAAGAAGAATTGTCACTGTATTTATATTAAAAAAAGAAGCACAACAAGATTCTGATAATAAATTATTACAGGAAGGTTTCCTACAACAACAAAAGAAGAGAGTTTTAAAGGTTAAATGTCAAATTAGATTTATTTATTGGAGGGTAAATACCGTGTTTGTTACAAGATAATATATTAGATAGAATGAATATAATAGATTATCTTGTGTAGGCGAATTTACCTGATGCAAGGGAAAACACCGTTTTTAGAGAATCGCCCCCCGCTCCCCGACAATAAATTAGCCTATTTCATCTTGTATTCATATGACAATAATTGGGTAATCCCAGATTGAATTTTATTCAAACTTGTTTGGAGGCTTATTATTATTGTTTCCTTAAATTCCTAGAGGAACATAGGGCTTCAGCCGCATGTCTCCATTGCGTTCGGTTCTCTTCCAACGTTTTCATCTGGCTCCACGTCTGCTCACATGCTTTCATCTCCTCTTCACACGAAGTCCTCCAAGTCACCCTTGCACGACCAACTCGCCGCTTCCCATTCGGTTTCTACTCAAGGGTTTGTCTAGTGATGTCACTTGATGGTTTCCTCAGAGTACGGCTTCCAATCCATCTTCATTTCTTCCTGCCTATTTGTTTCCTAATCGGTTCCTGATGTGTTGGTTCGCTCATCGCCAGAGATCTCTGTTGCTGATCTTTTCTGGCTGGCCATCTGATCTTGAGTAGTATTGAGCGAAGACAACTGTTAATGAAGGTCTGTAGTTTGTTTGAGATGCTCTTTATGACGCGCAGTGCAAGTCTCTGATCCTTATAGTAAGTAGCACTGACTTCACATTGGAGTTGAAAATCCGGATATTATTTTTGATGCTGAGTGCTGTTGATCTCCACACAGACTTGAGAGTAGTGAAAGCTTGTTTTGCTTTTCCGATTCTTGCTTTGATATCCTCGTCAGTTCCGGCTGTAGTTGAAACGATGCTTCCAAGGTAGGTTAAGGAGGTTGTTTCTTTCAGGTTCCTTCCATATATACTGATTGTTGTTTGTTGTTGTTGTTCTTGTCCACGAATCTTCATTGCCTCTGTTTTCTCTATGTTCACCTGAAGTCCTATCTTCTCCGGATGCTTCTTCTGCCAACTTGTTGCTTTTCGCTTGCATATCTTCAAGTTTCTGGGAAATCAGACAAATATCATCGGCGAAGTCCAGATCCTCCCATTTTTTTGTGTGAGTCCATTTTATGCCTGTTTCCTCATTGCCCACTGTTTGTCGCATTATACAATCTACTGCAATCAGGAAAATCATTGGAGATACTAGGAAGCCTTGTCTTACAAGTGTTTTATCCATGCATGAATAATGCTTCAACTATACATGACAGAATTTCCTTAGCCCTATAGGTCTTTTGTAGTTGTGTCATTTAGACTCATCGTTACTCTGATTGGACACTAGTCAGTAACTAGTGTAATGTGTGAGTGTCTAGTCTTTTGCTTACAGGATCTCATCATGAGCTGACACATTGGTTAGAGAACCATTGGAAAACCAGCTGGGAGTACTAGTCCTAGTTTGGGACTCTTCATCAGTACACACCCACCAAAGGGGTTCGAACCCAGGACCTTTTGGTTACAAGGCGAGCTAGCTCGTAGACTATTGAGCCACTGGGACCCAATCTATTTTTTTATTATTTCTTTCCTTCACGTTCCCCAGCGGAACATAGGGCTCCAAGCTAGAGGTTTGAAGTTTCTCTAGCAGTGTTTATTTTTTACAGGATGGGGTTGCTAGCCTCATGCCCAACCTTTCCTCTTCACCAGCATTATTTCTGGCTTAGCGAGGTAGGGGAGTGCGTCGTCCGGGAATCGAACTCCGGACCATGTGCACTGTCGGCGAGCGTCCTAACTGCTATGCCACCGACGCTTGGGACCCGATCTAGCCGATCATGAATTCTAACTTTTGCCAAATTACGACATAGTGTGACCGCCAGCCATTGTCTTCGGAGAGTATTTGTCCTCACACCTGACCTGCTCCACACTACTGGTCACGACTTCCCACTAGAACCCTAGGTAACTACATACCTGAGTAAGGCAAGTCGCCAGTGAGCATCTCATCGATATTCAAGTGTCCCAAACAAGGCTAACGAAACAGCTGTCCAGTACTCCCAGCTGGTTTTCCAATGGTTCTCTAACCAATGTTAGCTCATGATGAAATCCTATAAGCAATCAATCAAATCCCTACAAACCGACACTTGAATGTTTAGTCTTTTGTTTGGTGCAGACTGAATTCTATCAGTCAAGTTTACAATGTGGTTGGCATGTCACTAGGTGGCTTGCCATCATGGTTCACTTTGAATTGCTGATATAAGATGGTTGGAGGCAATCGGTACGAAGCTCTACCTTACCTAGATTTCGTAATAGTGTAATGACAGAAGACAAGGGCCAGGCAACGGATCGTTTATTGAGAAAATCAAGAGATATTTATAGATTTTTATGTACATTATTATTAGCGCTATTGTTAGCAGAGAAGCAACCTCTTCTGACTGGCTGTTTTCTTGCTGAAGGTTATGCTGTACTGCCTGTGACTGTTGCTTACAAAGTTATCTATATATCCGCAAATCGTATTTGCTTGCACACGCTAAGTCTGCTGTGATTGGTTGTTGAGTTCTTCAATGTTAGGCTTTTGATCTTGTTTTTTCTCATGACCCCAATTAGGGACGTAAACCTAGACGTAAAGTTCTGTCTACAATTTTGGCCTGCAGACGGATCTCTCCGCACTAGTATGCACTCACCAGGCAGTCACTAAGGTGCATCTGCAACTGCCTTTAAGGAGCTCATATCATTCCTGAGATTCGGGCTAGTGTCACCGAATGAGTGCTGCAGTCAATTAGAGACGTTACCACTGAGCTATTCGGGCTGCAATTGATCTCCCATAGGACTGTATTGGATGGTCTAAGAGCCGTTTAATGCTATCGAATATTTTTTGCGAATCTATTGACTAAGCAGGCCTCGTTGAAGTTTTTCGCAAACCGATTATTAAATGCTACTCTCCCCAGGAACTGCCTTAGCTTCCTCTTGGAATTCGGGGCTTTAATTGTCTTTATCGATAAGATTTTCTCCCAAAGCAGTTATATTTCACTGTTGCCTACTTTATGACACCAACAGCGTAACACTCTGTTTGGCTATCTGAGATTTGGTTTTGTTGGTGGGAAGTTCAAACATTTCAGTGCACCTTAGCACTGCTTCGACATGGTTCACATGACCGCTTTCTTCCTGACTGTAGATGACGACGTCATCACCATACACCACCATATTCCTCAAGTTTGTAAGTAACACTGTCATCGGTCATCTGAAGGTAAACGGTGCACCGGCTAGTCCAAATGACATGCATTTAAACCGATACTGTTTCTGACCCATGATGAACGCTGCCTTATCTCTGTTTCTCTGTTTTATCGGTATCTGCCAATATCCTGACCGGAAGTCGAGCATTGTTATCAAATTCGCGCTCTGTAGACAATCCAAGGTCTCTACTACAGTTGGCATGACAGACGGTCTCAGCTTTGTCATGCTGTTCTTTAGCTTTTTGAAATCAACACAGAATCTGTGCTTCCCATTTGCTTTCTCTGATATCAAATACATCTCCCTGCTATTCGATGTTTTAATGCCATTGAATATCTTTTTGTGAATGAATGCAGCACCCACTGGGTGACGTGGTTTCGAATCTCAGAAGAGACATAAACTCCTTCAAGGCGGTTGCAGATACGCCCTGATGATTGGTGAGTGCCAACTAGCACGAAACCTAGCTGGTATTCTCCAAACATCAAATATTAACAGACCCATCTTTTCAATTAATCCACGTTGGATAAATTTAACTACTCTAGGAGTTCACGTTCTTACAGATGAGCACTAAAGTCAATGTGAAAGTGATCTGGATGGTCACAGACTAACGACGCAAGGCATTACTCTACCAAGGAGTTACTGAAGTAGATAAATGTTGCTGTCTTCATTTACTGGTCTCTGACAATGATGCTTTTTAATGAAAAAGTATCTTATCAAGGATCAAATCAGAGGTATATATAAATTCGCAAAATTCTATCCCTTTCCTTCAAGTACACTGCAAATAAACACTGACTTACCACTCCATTCTGTATGACATATAATAGTCACTGGGAATCCTTCTTTAGCTCCAATAGTACCTTCTGAGATAAGTGCACGATAAATTGGACGTATAGTTATTTTATACTGACTATTCGGTTTTAAATCTGGTATTTCCATTTTATGAGTTTGTTGTTGTTGACGTTGTTGAAGATGACTATGCTGCTGTGGATCGAGAGCTGATATATCACCGAGCAAATCAACTAACGGCCAATTTAACGTTTCAGGTCTACCAATGTTGCCATCGATCTGTTGGTCTGCACTGTGATGAAGTTGCCATTCACCCAAGTGAACTGATTTAAATACACCGCTGTTAGTGAAAAATTCACTTCTGCCAGTTATATGAAGCTAAATGAAAGAAATAAAAGGTATAATGTATTCGATGTGTTCAGTGTGAATTCTAAAGAATCCACTGTTTGAAAACAGTAATGAAGATTTGTGGTGCATCAGTGGCACAGTGGTAGGATGCTCATTGACCACGTCTCATGTGGTCCAGGGTTCGATTCCCGGCCACTGGACGCATTCCTTTACCTCACCAAGCCAGTAAGTAATAAGGCTGGTAAAGAGGGAGGGTTGACCATTAAGCTAGCAACCCCATCCTGTAAAAACAAGCATCACTGCTACCGAAACTTCAAGCCTCTAGCTTGAAGCCCCCTATATTCCATTGGAAAATTGAAGGAATAAAAAAATCACAAGGATGATATATTTGGTGTGGTTGTAATCTTTGAGCTGCATAATTTAACTTCAAAAATTGCGCTATTCTTCTAGACAATATCGTCAGCGCTCATCTTAGTATGAAGTGAGTTTTCAAAGATGTCCCATGAATTATATAACTGACTCTCCCAGTGGCTATGACTATGGTGAATCGTGCTAAGCATTATAATGTCCTTCAGTTTATTTGCATTAATAATGATTGCGTCGGTAACCATCGTATGCAACCTTTATGTCTTGTGATTAGTTCTGTATTGATCAATAAAATTTGGTCTTTGTCGACATTTCTGTTCACTGAAGACTGATCCGACTACCAAGGTTCTAGGAATTCCATGCCATCTTAAATATTTCTTTTGCCTAAGGTTCGTATGTTTTTCTAGCCGATTAGGTGTCTATAGTTCTCCAGATGTACAAGTCATGTCTTAATGCATTTTGATGATATGGGGCTGAAAGAGGTGTTCACCTTGGCAAGTATGGTTGGTGCCGATTTTATTCTGGATGATGGTTGGATTGTTTGGTGTACACTGTGACTCAAGAATAAGGAAACTTTGAGAGGTAAACAGCTTCAGTCAAGATTATTAGGAGAGAGAATTATATCATACACGGGAAATCCCTGAAGTGTCGCTTCATACTACAGTGTGAATACTAAGGATGTTAATGTCTATTATTATTCTTCCCTTGGGTTCCGAGTGGAACTAACGGCTTCAACAACATATCTCCACTTTCTCCTATTTGCTACTGTCCTGTTTAGGTGTCTGGGCTCACGATTGCCTATGATCTCACATCTCCTTCTCCTTCCTAACACACGATCTCCTCCATGTCACCCTCGCCCTTACGACACACTCACTCGTCTCCCATTAGCGCTTCACTCAAACAATGGCCTGCATCGGGCTCGATGATATGTGACGGCCTCCTCAACGTATGCCTGATTCATTTATATTTTCTCCTACATATTTATTGAGCGATCAACTCTTGGTTGGTTTATTGCCAGAGTTTCTTGTTGCTAATTCTTTCTAGCCAGCCAATTAATCTTCACTAGCGAACCAGTGGAGGCAGTTGTTGATAAAATTCTACCCTGACCTATTGGAAATCCTCTTCGTGACATGCAGCGCAAGTTTCTGGTCAATATAGAAGAAGTGAATGACTGACTGACTTCACATTGGTGTTGAAAATCAGAATGTTGTTCTTCATGCTGAATGCGGAAGATTTCCAGACTGGTTTCAGCATTGTGAACGCCTTTCCTATTCTGTCTGACTTTGACGTCTTCATCCATTCCGCCTGCCTGTGGTTTGAAGCGATGCTTTCTAGCCAGATTAGCGAAGGAAGCAACCGCTGTCAAATCTCTCGCGTTTATGGTGACTGGTGCTGTTTGTTGGTTATCTTCATCACCTCCATCTTCTCTATGTTCACCTGGAGTCAGTCCTGCCTTCGCTGCTGGCCAGCTTCTTCAACCAGATTGTTGGTTTTCACCTGCCTGCAAGTCTTTGGGTTTGTGTAACATTAAACATAAATCATCCTCACGCTAAATCCAGATCTTTAAGAGTCTTATTATTTGTCAGTGCAGCGTTTTCCTGTTTATTCACTCCCAACTCACAGTCATAGGAGATAGTAGGCAGCCAGCCCGTCTTGTCTGACTTCTATACTCGCTTCAGACGCATGCTTCGCTGAGTTTTTCAATATGGACCGCCTGGCACGCAGCATTGTCACACAGCTGTTGAATGAGGTTTAATAAAGAATTGTGGCATGTCGTAGTGCTCAGGCAGTTTCCAAACTACTTCTAGATCAACGCCGGCTGTCGGCGGCCTTCTCGAAGTTGAGGTAGACATTGAGAGTTGACTGCTATTCTATGCTTCGTTCAATGACAACGTGTAGAGTTGCAATTTGATCAGCACATGATTTACCTTTCCTAAATCAAGCTTGTTCCGGTGACCTGGCAGAGTTCTGTATCCAGTGCATCTTTTATTCTCTCTAGGACGTTGTCGAAAAGTAGAATGAATGCTGGACAATTAAACCCTTCCAGCTTAAATACAACACAACACCACCACTAGCAACTGCCAAGAATAACACAAAAAAAATCTCTCCCTAACCTACCTGATATTCCAATAGATTGGCCAAATGTACTGGAGGTAACCAATCAATAATTATTGATTTTGATGTTTTATGAATACATTTAAAATTTTGTACAGTAAATTTCTCTGGTTGATCAGATATATTATCTATAACACTGAAACGATAATTTTCGTCTTCTTCTTCTCCTCCTCTTTTCTTCACAGGATAAAGCATTCCATCATTTTTGTTGAAATTGTCATTCTCCTCCTCATTATTGCCTATATTGGTGAGGATATGTTGATATGGGTGAATTTTTATCACATCTGATAATTGACCTTCATTTCCAGTTGAATCGACTGAACTTAAACGAATTAAATAACCTTCATTTGAAGGCAGATTACTCTGTTGGAAGCGTAGAAACAACAACAAAAAAGAGAAGTATCAGATTTATGAGTATAAGAAAGATTGAGCGAAGAAATATATTTACTCTTTTCAATTAGATCCTCATCTCACTCTGGCTCTACTCTATTATATAATGCATAGCATTTTTATTACAATACACAACAGTTTACGAATCAACTGGCACTGATATATTTGTTAACAATAATTAGTCAGTGTCAAAATGTCAAGCAGTGGGTTGATAATAAACGAAGAAAATCAGTACACATTTAAAAAGTAGAAATGGATAGAATAAATTAATTTTACAAGGATAACACGTAATTAAAGATGAAGTGGTTAAAATAAGTAAAAATAAAATAATTTGGACAATTATAATTTTTACAGTTTTTAGAGCTTTAGGGGTATGGCGGACGACGTAGTCCTGTTTATGCATTCTTGTAACGATGGCCATGGTAAGGGAAGTGGCTGTACAAATTTCTTCTGAACACACAGGTTTAGCTAGTTTCTTCAGGTGGATTCCTATTGCTTCAGCTGTCGTATGTAGAAGACGAACTCGTAGAGCAAAATTAAGATTAGTCGGAATGCGATAAATAATTTTAAATGCAGCATTAACGTCAACCTTATGCTCACTATCTACAAGATTTGATAAAATATAGCTACGAATAGATCTTGTTTGTCCCTTGCTTAACCATGTTGGATGATGTTCGGAAATACGGCGATGAACCTGTCTAATTGTAGGCCCAATGTAGCTGGCTCTGCAGCTGTAGTCAAAGTGGTAAATACACATAGAAGAGGCAGGCAAATTTAGGTAGTTTATCCTCATTTCTCGAAAGTAGAATAGGGGTGATTGTGAAGAGATCAAGTACTTCTGCTGCATAATAAGCTCTTTAAACTGCATTCTTCAGGCCCTTCTTATTATTTCACTGATTTTGTCACCGAGGAACTGAAGTTTTATGAACATTGGTTTTTTCGGAACTGTTGCCATACTGACTCTCCTAGGTGCTGAATTCATATTTTTCTCAATGGATTTATCTGGATAACCATTTTTTCTAAGTAATTCTATAATAATCTTAAGCTTTTCATTGAGGCATTCCTACTAGTCCTAATTTTGCTCTACATATATATGTATCTATTAATAATAAACACTGCAGTAAATGATCACCATCCCATATTTCGATATTTCCTTAGGTGCAACCCACGACACAAACAGTTTATGGCACCGTAAATTTTATGTCAGGAGCTAAACGTGAGAAACACTTTGTTCCATTCAAGTAGATTAATTTGAACTTGTTGTTTCCTCTGGTCTGGTTGATTTAATTGCGAAGCTTTGGTGGTTCCACTCTCCTTCTAGACAACATTGCCTCAGCACAGGTTCTATTATAAAACGAACTTATTTCAATTCTCCACAAACGATGAAATAATTATATCTCCCTGTTGACAACCACTGTCCTGACCAGTTGTTGGTTAACATCTCTATTGACCACTTTTATTGACTTGTAATGTGATTTTCTTTTTATTAGCTGGTAAGTTTGGTCCATAATAATGTGTTTGTTAATTGCGAATTCACATGAATGCCAGGCTTCTAGAAATCCCCTGACTGCATTACCCTCTGGTGTTTCCTCCACTTAAAATTCCCACATTATCTCAATCATCTAATTGGTGTCCATAATTCTCCACATGCACTGATATGAAAAAATATATCATGTCTTTTTATGGCTAAATCATGTTCTTGGATTCGGATTCGAATGGAAGCCTCACTTTCACCGATGTAATGTCTGTTACAGTTCATATATGCAATTTATTTTTAAATGGTATTAATTTTTCCTCCTTTTTCTGTTGAATGGGTCCTTCGGTCTGCACAATATCGAATGAAGTGGTTTTACTGGCTGGCTGTTTGTCTTGTATACTATATTTATTTCAAACGGTTTCAGTATTCTAGCTGTTATTTCAGAGATATATTTCATCCATGGTAGAATGAGTTTTCTTGTGGTCTTTGATGATGGGTTCTTGTTAGTGTTATTACTCAAGCCTAAACACTTTTTGATGAAATTGTGAGAAGGATATCCATTCTTTTTTTCAAGACGGTTAGTAGGCATTTTTCCTCCATTCTCTTTAACACTGGAATAGTGCTACATTGTTGTGTTTGGACTCTTTTAAATAATGTCTGCACACAGTTTCTTTTCTGGGTAGCTGGGTTGGGTTATTACAATAATTATTGTTGAGTATTTGGTCTGTGTGCGTTGATTTTCTACATACTTGTGTTTCTAAATTTCCTGTGTTAGTTCTCTTGATGAAGACATGTAGGAATGGAATTTCGTTGTCTGATTCTTCTTTTCTCGTGGTGAATTTAATGTCCTTAAATATATTGTTCATTAGATTGTGGGTGTATGCCAAATCATTTCTTTTAATATTTACAAATGTATCATCAACATAACCTAACCAGATTTTTGGTTTAATTATGGATAGGGATGGTTTTCAATTCTAATCTTTGTATAACGGCTTCAGCTATTTATTCCATTATAGATGAGATTTTATTTTGATAAGTCACACAGTGTTACACAGTAATATTAACTGATGACGTTTCCAGCACAAATTATTGCTCATAATCATATCAAGTTACTCACACAACTTTTTTCCTTCATTTATATACATGTGTGGAATTGATGGTTAGACATTTGAATAAAAATGAATATAGGATAATGTACATTCAGAATCAAAGACAATCAGATGGGAAATAAGACGAGTGTTTTTATAGTCCAAATAAGTAGCTTGTTAGAATGTAAAAGGCAGATTCAGCGAAGAAAATTTTCTTTATCGACGAAGTCATCTTCATCTTCGTATTTATACTAACAAAAATATATAGTGGTCTATTATTGAGTAATACGGGGTGACATAATTGATACAATTACTCAGAAGTGGCTTTAGAAGTGAAAATTAAAAGTTGTAAATTACGTGGTACTCAACGGAACAAAGATAGAAATTTGATAAGGTTAAAATTGCTATTAAGTGAGAATAAAGGTATTTGAGTGTCAATTTAACAAGTGTGAAGAGGGTGTGAAAATATACAAAAGGAGCATATGAGAGTGATAATAGTGAATTAATTATTAAAGCAAAAGCTAACTAAAAGTGAAATTAGAATGAAAAGAAAAAATCAAAATATATTTTATTTACAAGGAACGATTAGTGAAAAGGTTAAGACCAAGGTAGAGTAAGAGACTGGACGAACTTTTTCTGTATACAGAGTTCAGGGTTGCATTGATGAATTGCTAGAGCCTCCGCCATACACAAAAGCCGAAACCTGACGCCCTTTGTACCATTTAACTTCACTTTTAATTTTCACTTCTAAAGCCACATCTGAGTAATTATATCAATTATGTCACCCCCTATTACTCAATAATAGACCACTATATATTTTTGTAAGTATAAATACGACTGTACAGCCTCTGAAGATGATTTCATCGATGAAGAAAATTTTCTTCGCTGAATCTGTCTTTTATTTTCTTCATGACTCAATAGGTATTTTCGGTGATTTGTTAGAATGTTGTGATGTGTTTGAATTGAAATAGAATTTTAAGATCATTTATTATCATCTTCTGGTTCGACTGACTGGTGGTAATAATATCTCCCATATTTCTCGTATTTGCATTGAGTCATTTCTGTTTAAGGTGTTGGGTGTAGACTCAATGAACCAGGATTCAGTAATCAATCTCTCTCGTTCTCCACCTACATAGATTACTTCTTAGAATCGTAACCCTCTCCCACACTATTGCGTGGTTGTATGTTAATGCATGTAGTGCAATTGTTGAGCTTTCTTCTAAATTAATCATCTTCTCTGGGTCAACCATTCTTACCTTAGCCAAATTCTTATGTTCCGACAATCTGATTACCCCAATCGACTAGTGTGACCTATGTAGTTGACTTAACTCGCAGTCATTGCAGGGTATTTTGTAAATTATATTATTTTGTTTAATTGGATCCACCGGGTCTTTTAACCTACAGGGTTTGTCCTGCCTGAATGAGTTTGTAGATTTGAATGCCACCCTAATTCCTGCTTTGTTAAGAATCCTACGTAGGGAGTGTTTCTCATGTCCCCTCCTTATATGGTATAACAGTAGATGACTTAGATTCTCTCTTATTTGTGTTATCATTACTAGTTTCATAACTATTTTTATTTTGCTTTTGGCTTTTTTCGATCTTCCTAATGAATTTTATGGGATAGTTATTTAACACCAATGCCTCTTCTGTCTGTTTTTTCAGCTATTAATCCTGATATGAGCGGTTATCTCATTTGTGTTCCTATTATCTGTTCGTATATTCGATTGGCGAATTAGAATTATGTGTTTACCTTACAACTAAAATATATCAAAATGTAGGTAGGTGACATTTTTTAATTAAATAAACAAACTTACCAAATCTTCAGATGTTTTCATTATTTCTTTTACAAAGTATTTTTGCCATAAATTAGGATTACTTTGCGTGGTATAATGAATAATTATATAAGCTATATTTGCTTTGTCCTCTGGTAGTGTCCATTCAATTGTTAGAATGTATGGAGACTTCCAATATCCTTGTACATGCGAAGGCGGTGATGGACCTAAGAATAATGCAAAAGAAATCACAGCGTGTTTTGACACACCATTTTTTGTAGTAAGATTGAACACAGTGGGATACATGATTTTAACGAATAATAAAGTTTATGCATTACTTACAACATTCTAAATACAAATTGCTGATGGCTAATAATTACATGTGCAACTATAATCTCACGAGTAATGAAATCTTCACCAAAAGCTGATTGGTCCGTTGTAAACTAATATAGCAAACATTTATGCACATATCCTCAGTTGACAGAGGACAAATTCAAACTGTTTTTATGGAGTTAAGTTTGTATGACAGTTAAGTGATTTAGACGTGTCTCAATCAACTATTGGCTCGGGAAAATTCAATACAACTAAGTACAGGAAGAATCGTACACTTATAGTCCTTTTTCCACTTTTATTTGACGTTTCTTGTAATCTATACCTGAAACAAAACTGAACTCTACGAGTTTGATCACGGATTGATATCAGTTGGAGAACCATTGAAAACTAGCACTGGAGTATTGGACAGAGAGCTGTTTCATCAGCCTAGTTTGGGAATCATCGGCAGTACGCATCTACCACCACGGTTCGTACCCAGGACCTTCCGGTTACAAGGCAAGCTAGATCGTATACCATTCAGCCACCAGGACTCAACTCCTCAATGGCCAGTTAATGAATTCTAACTTCTATGTATTCGTGATTTAGCGTGACTGAGACAAAACAATGTCATCGGTGAGAAATCCATCCTCACACTTGACAGGATGCACCTTACTGGTCATGACTTCTCACTAGAACTAACTCCAGGAAACTCCTTCTTGTAGCCAGTCACTGCTAGCGAGCATCAAATTAATTTTCTATAGTTGTTTTGTAAGGATTAGATTTGTTTTTACTAGTTTGACCACGAATTGATATCAATGAGAAAATCTGGCGTTCTAGTGAGAAGTCGTAACCAGTGAGGTTCATCCAGTCAAGTGTGGGAATGGATGCCTAGCCGATGACAATGGTTGGTGGTGGCACTAAATCATGAATTGGTAGAAGTTAGAATTCATGGGCCTGTGACTGAATCGCGTCCCAATGGCCAAATGGTATACGAGCTAGCTCACCTTGCAACCGAAATGTCCTGAGTTCGAAACCCTGTAGATCTTTACTAACGATGAGTATCAAACTAGGCTGATGAAACAGCTGTCTGTTCAGTACTACAGTGCTGGTTTTCAATGGTTCTCGAACTGATACCAATCCGTTGTCAAACTCGTAAAAATAAATTTAATCCTTGCAAACCAACTTCTGAAAACTGAATTCGTAAATTTAAAACAAAACGGAATATATTTTCTTAGCCTTATCTATAGTATTTAAAATCAATTTAGATTTTCCCGTCGATTGATTGGACTGAAAGTGTTGGTCTCAGGATAACATGTTGGCTCCTCCTTGTGCAGATGCCTCGGCGTTGTTTGATCATGCGACTTGAAGCGAGTTGAAGGATGCTGACTAGCGGTAAAATCCACAAGGATGAGCACTTCATCCTGTTTTGCACTGGCTCATCAAATGGTTCTACATGCATTTCCTACCGAGTCTCAAACCAGGTCCCCGTAGTTTCAAACGCAAAAGCGGGTAATTCACTAGAACACTTGTACCACGAGGAATCAGCGGATAAGAGGAAATTCAAATAAATAATTGCTGACACACCCATTTCAGAAGAAAGACGTGAGAACAACACCACTCAGTGACTGGGGAATGCAGGTGCAACAAGTTGACGAGTCTCAAATAAGACAAAATGCGCGTAGTCCTGGATTCCAATGCTATTTACCATCCCCCAAATGACTTCAATTTATATGTAGTAATTTACAAATTAATGCCCATTTTTAAGTGTAGTAAGTCCAAGGCGGAATTTCACACCTATTTCCTCTAGAAAACAAAATTTGTGAGATCACAAATATCCAACCTGTTTTATACCATAAGTGGACATCAAGGAAATAAGCTTAGGTGAATGCTTTCTAGTATTAGATGGTTAGAGGCAATCAGCAGGTATCACTGGACACCACTTAGGTTTCGTTCTAGCTGGCACTCGTCAGCAAGGTGTATTTGCAAACTCGAAGGTACTCGTGTCACTTCTGAGATTCAAACCCGCGTCACCCAGTGGGCTCTGCAATCAGTCAAAGCAATTACCACTAAGTTATTGAGGCTGACGATTGAACTCCTGTAGGTGGGAAATGGATAATTTTGATTGCACACTTGATATATATATATATACATATAGATGGATGGATGGATGGTTGATGGATGGATGGATGGATAGATAGATAGATAGATAGATAGATAGATAGATAGATAGATAGATAGATAGATAGATAGATAGATAGATAGATAGATGGATGGATAGATAGATAGATAGATAGATAGATAGATAGATAGATAGATAGATAGATAGATAGATAGATAGATAGATAGATAGATAGATAGATAGATAGATAGATAGATAGATAGATAGATAGATAGATAGATAGATAGATAGATAGATAGATAGATAGATAGATAGATAGATAGATAGATAGATAGATAGATAGATAGATAGATAGATAGATAGATAGATAGATAGATAGATAGATAGATAGATAGATAGATAGATAGATAGATAGATAGATAGATAGATAGATAGATAGATAGATAGATAGATAGATAGATAGATAGATAGATAGATAGATAGATAGATAGATAGATAGATAGATAGATAGATAGATAGATAGATAGATAGATAGATAGATGGAAAGAGAGTCGTGCATTCAGCTATAGCAACTAATAAACAATTCAGACCTCGGAATTAATCGGAATTTAATTAAATCTGCATAACCTACACGTCAGTGACATTCACAACAATATGAACTATAATCTACAATTACAAAAGTTTCTATTAGTCTTTTAATAACTAAGCTTATTCCCATGTAACATTAGAGATATTCAATCACTGTCTGAACACTGATATCATGATGTGATGTGATGTGATGAAACTGAAATTTTATTATGTCTCAAAATGTGTTATCATACTTCCCAAATGTCAGAGAAGCGGGGCATTACAATGCTTGTTGATTATATATTCGATTGAATACAATTCACAGCCTTCCTTTCTCCACCACCTTCATCACAAATAGTATTAAAACTGTCCATGTTTAAATATCTTCTGTTTTTTTTAATGCAAAAATGATAATTAGAAGTGGGTTAGAATTTATTTTATACTCGAGGTGTGATTCATATGTCCAGTGAAAAGAGTTATTAGAATATTTTATACTGTCCGATATATAGACTACAAGATTTATGATAAGATATTCACACTGACTGTCAAAATGTGTATATATGCATATAATATATAATGAATTTGAAATATTAAAAAAAAGAATTTTAATATTTTTTATTATCTAGTAATTCGAAGAAATATATTGAAAGCGATTTCCCACCTAGCCATCTAATTGATTAAGGATAAGAAGTGGTGAGTAACTCCGCCTGTCATTTGGAAGGCCTGGGTTCGATTCCTGGTCGAGGAGCTGGCTTGTGTGCGTCAGTGGCATAGAGGTTAAGACTCTCACCGATCATGCACATAGTCCGGGGTTCGATCCCATGCCAAAGTACACCTGATATCAATGGTTGGCCTGCAAAATTTGGGCTACCGATATCACATTGCTGAAAATTTCATACTTGTACCAAAGAAAAATCAAATCACAAAAAAGAAGTGAATCTGACCAGTTTCAGACTTGTTCTTACTTGCCTAACTGTCTCAGATAGTGAGCTTTAAAACAGCCCAACTGAAAAATTGGTACAGTCTAGAGATATGTATTCTCTAACTGATGTCAGCTCATGGTGAAATCCTGTAACCAATCAAATCTTTGCAAACGTTTAACCAGGGCGATAAAGAAAACTTTCTACTCTGCACGTCTGTCACTATCCTTCAGTAGCCGTCCAGTGTTCACCCAGCAACTCAAAGATGTCTTACACTAACCTTAGCTCTTCTTCATGCATTAACCATTTCAACTGTTCCTGTGGTTCAAGTTATGTTGGGCAGGTTCATCTACAGGTTCGAGAACATTTACCAGCTCGGTTCAGCAAAGGGGGATTTGAGGCTCGATTCTGTCACATATGGTTGATACTGGACATCGCATCGATGTCAACATAGATTTCAGGGTTATATACCAAATTCCGAAGTCATTATCACATTCAGTTCGCTTACGTTTCCTACACATAGCTGAAGCTGTTGCAATAAGATCGACTAAACCGGAACTTTGTATCCAAAAAGAACACTTCCAGACGCTGTTCCTACCGTGGCCAAACTTGGATTGATGATTCTTCTTCGCACCAAGAGTGCTCCTCCCCCTTAACCCCCTTGGTTTTTTGTTTCTTTGCTTATCATTACTGTCATTATTATTATTCGTCATAATTTATGCCCTTCATTCAAACATTCTCTCAATACTATCGAATTTTTCATTTATACTATCCGGACTTATTATTCTTGTGGTGAGAGCTGGCTGCTAGCCAAATTCGGTAGAGAGTAATGACGTCAATATTTATGTCCCCAATATTGGTGGTGAGAAAATGAGAACAAAGGCTTTGCGTAGGCGGATATAGTTAGCATATGGATAATCTGACGCAGCCACAAAGAGATGCAAGGTTAACTTTCTGTGAGAAACAGCCAATCGAAAGACTGTATTTCTACTAACAATAATCTACAAAAGTACATAAAATCTATAATATGTGTTGATTTTCCTTAATAAACGATCTGTTGCCTGGCCCTTGTCTTCTGTTGTTACATTATTAGTGATATTATCTCTTTTCTCAATATATGCCTTCACATTTTTTTCCCAGGCTTCAAGCTTGTGGCTTGAAGTTTCTGTAGCAGTGTTTGTTTTACAGATGTTCTGCTTCATTTTACACATTCGTTATTTCATACCACTTTGTACTAACCACTGACTCACCTGACACCTTTTATAACCTTGAACTGACTTGTCAGTTTTTCCTACCTCACTCCACATTCTACGAATCTATTATGACTAATCAACACCGTTGTCTTCCATTTCACAATATTTTGTAATTGATTTCAGCCTAGCACGATATTTTTCACACAAAATCGACTATTTATTTTGACACCTCATAACTAATCTGTTATTCTACGTAAAAAATGTATCCGCCGCATAACTGGCTCTCATTAGTGTAGCGACAACAAATATATTCTATTTTATAATTGTAAGAACCTGAAGAGGAGAAATTATTGAAAAGAATATTCTTCGTTCAGATTGACTTTTAATTCATGATATGGGAATATTTCACACCATTAAATTTGAACATCAATCTGATGCTCACTAGCGGCGATTGGCCCTATTCATGTAGGTAGTTGCCTAGGTTCTAGTGGAAAGTCATGACAAGTGGGATACAGCCAGTCGGGTGTGGGGACAAATACTCTCTGGAAATGACATTCGCTAGTGCCAGTCGTGCTATGTTGTGCGTGAATTGGCAGAAGTTGGAATTCACTGACTGGTCATTCGATCGTGGTCTACGATGTAGCTCGCCTTGTAACCGGAAGGTCGTGGGTCAAAAGCCCAGTCGTGGGGTGGATGCATGCTTCTGAAGAGTCCCAGGTTAGGACGAAACAACTGTCCAGTACTCCCCAATGGTTCTCTAACCAATCAAATCCCTGCAAAGAAACATTTGAATTCGAACTAAAATATTTTTTAAAAATAAAATACCTTTTTGATGAATAAGAAATTGAACACGATCACTCCATGGACCTGGACCTGCTTTAGTCCAAGCACGTACCAGACAGGCGTGTGTACCTGCAGGTAAATTAGACAAGCTTAATGTTTGTTCAGTGAGTGTTTTCAATTCATCACGATTCTCTTCTGAACCAACAATATAACATCGAACTTGATATTTTGTAATAATACCATTTTGATATAATAATCTTGGAGGTTCCCAAGCCAACTTTACTGAGGTTTCATCTCCACCAACTACACGAAAGTTACTTGGAGCATCCGATGGAGCTAAATAAAGTGGGGAAAAAAATTAAAGGAATATGTTTGGTTAATGCATAATTTAATTTGAATAAAGCAAGAATAACAACAGTGGTTTGTGCAGAATAAAATGGTACCATCGTTGTTTATTTCGTTGGCTTCTCATCAGCTGCTTACAGCCCAAAATCACTATTAAGAATATCTACGGAAACCATTTTAACATACTTACCCACACAGAGTTCATTTCTAAACAAAAAGTCAGTATATGCATACAATCATAATATATATAATAATAATGAACACTGTACCGAACAATAATAATCATACACAATGGAAACTTTCGGCATTACGTAACCAGATGAAAGAGAGGGTGAAAATATCCAGTTACCAAGTGGGCGATGGAAGACTCATAACCGCTTCATTCTGAACACATAAATCGGGTTTCAGGCTCTTGATGGAGATTGCTTTGGCGAACTTGAGGAGAACTCCATTATAGATAAGATATTATTTTGATAAATCACACAGTGTTATACAGTAATATTTACCGATGACCACGTTTCAAGCACAAATTATTGCCACTCATAATCATATCATCAAGGTACTCACTCACACAACTTTCTTGCTTCATTTATATACATGAGTAGAATTGATGATTAGACACTTGAATAAAATCAATATAGGATAAAGTACATTCAGAAATAATAATATGAGTGTTATCAATCAAATACAATCAGATGGGCAACAAGACCAGTGTTTATATAATCAAAATAAGTAACTTGTTAGAATGTTATATTGTGAATTGAATACATTTTAAGATTATTTATCATACTCTGATTTGACTGGTAATGATACCTCCCATATCTCTGGTATTTGCGTTGAGTCACTTCTATTGCGTGTGTTGGGTGTAGACTCAATGAACCAGGATTCAGTAATCAATCTCTCTCTCTCTCCACCTACCTATATTACCTTTTAGAATTTTGACTCTGTCCCACCCTATTGTGTGATCGCGTGTTAATGCTTGCAGCGCAATCGCTGACCTTTTTCCTAAATTACTTATCTTGTAGGAGTCAATCACCCAAACCTAAGCTAAATTCTTATGTTCCGACAATCTGACTACCCCTGATCTACTAGTTTGGCCTATGCAGTTGACCTGAGTCACAGTCATTGCAAGGTATTTTGTAAATTATATTATTTTGTTTAATTGGGTCTACCGGGTCTTTTAGCCTACAGAGCTTGTCCTGTCTGAGTGAGTTTGTAGGTTTGAATGCCACTCTAATTCCTGCTTTATTGAGCATCATACGTAGGGACTCAGATATTCAAATGTCTAATCAGTTCCACTCATGTATATAAATGAAGGAAAAAAGTTGTGTGAGTACCTTGCTGTGACTATGAGTGGTAATAATTTGTGCTCGAAACGTGGTCATCAGTTAACATTACTGTACAATTCTCCACTGTGTGATTTATCAAAATAAAATCTTATTATTATAATGGAGTTACACTCTACCACAGTGTGCAAGTTTTATACTTATATCAAATTTGAGGAGAATTGAACTCGTTTGAATGGTCTTGTGACGTCCATCTCATGACCCGTATCGGGGACATGCCTGACGATGGCACTATTATAAGAGTTTGTTGCCTTGAGACATAGGCTTTTCGGTACATGTTCAGAAAATCGGAGATGTTCCCTTATTTTTGTTCTCCCAATATAACTGCTCCTACGGATAAATATAAATTTGTATACACAGTTGGAGTTAATATGAGAAGGGTATCTGTCAACCTTTGGTTGTTTGCACCAAAGAGCAATTTGTAAATGAAGATAATTTTCAAAACGATGATGAAAGTAGGTCTTTTTCAAGAAATTAGATCTACATAATGTAACAGTGGGGAAAATTTTAAAGAAACCACTTCCATCACTTAACAGGGTAGCATCCTTTCAACCACAAATAAGGATGTCAGTGGCACAATCGGAAAAGCAAGGCAGATATTCATCAACCTGAAATCACTTTACAAATCGCCTGCAATCACCATAAACGACAAAATTGAGATTTTAAACACTAATGATTAAATCGCTTCTTCTATATGCTTCAGACACTTAGTGTGTCATCAAAGGCCTTGTCGAACAGACGCCTTCGTCAGCTGAGTAGTGAAGATCAGATGGTGGGAGGGGATTAGAAATGCAAAACTGTGAGAACGAACCAATAGGCAAGAAACTATTGCTCAACAAAGATGTAGAAGAAACTGGAGATGGATCGGACATACTCTGAGGAGATGGTTGAGTGACATCGAGAGCCATACATGACGCCGTGTGGAACCTGAATAAGTAAGGATGAGTTGGATGTGAGTCGGAGGATGAAATAGAGGAGATGACAGTCTATGTGCAATTGTTAAACAAGTTGAAGAGGATTGGAGAGAAGAGAATTAAATGAAAATGTGTTTTTGAAGCCCGAAATTCCCCTTGGAACCCAAGATAATAATAATATAACAGCACGTGTGTGTTGATGGCACAGAAGTAGAATGGCTGCCAACCACGCCACATGTGGTTCGGAGTTCGATCTCCAGCCACTGGACTCACTCCTTTATACTGCTGAGCCAGACATAAGAAGAAAGGTTGGACATGAGGCTGGCAACCTCATCCAGTGAAAATTAACACCACTGCTACCGAAACTTCAAGCCTCTAGCTTGAAGCCCTATGTTCCACTAGGAACGTAAAGGAATAGCGATATATTCAACTCTCAACTAGTCGAAGAATTCGAGGATATATGAGTAAGAGACCGCCAGTTATTAGGAAGAATTTTCAAGTAGACAAGCAATCCGTGAATTACTCATCAATGATTTCATCTCTTGGTTACGAAATAAACATCGTCACATTTTATACCCAAGTTTCAAAGTCACATAAGTGTACAAAAAGAAGGTCGAGTTTTCGTCTCTACACAATTTTTAGAAAGTATATTTACTAAGCAATATTTGTCTATTTGAAATATGTCCAAAAGCAGTCCGATATAATGTCCTACATTTCACAAAGATTAAATCAAACAGTCATTCATTTATATATACGTATATATATTCGAGACAGCAGATACATCAGCGTACAAACACATAGCGAAGTCTTACTTAAATTGAAATGTATTCATAGTATTTTCATAAGTTATTTTCCAAGAATATTTTAACTTGTTCGTTTTGTAGAAAAATACGAAAAATGGGATGAATGCAGATATTTGATTCTGCAAAAAGCATTGTGTTGTTAAGACGTCGTTTCAAAGAAAAACTGGCCAGAAAGTGAGTCAAAAATCTTAAACAAAGCTAGTAATTTAAGATTATAGATCAAAGTTCTCTGTGTGTATGGTGGAGATATGTGGATGACACCTTCATTCACAGTGTTAAAAAAACGGAACATATCTCACTCTAGCTTCTTGACACATATAAACTCACTAGTAAAGGGAATAAAATTCACATTTGAATCTGAAAATGAACAAGGAGAATTAGCTTTGTGATGTTAGATTGTAAAATAAAACAAATAGAAGAAGGTAAACTGCACACTAGCGTTTATAAAAAGCCAACGCATTTTGCTAATAGATATTTAGACTTTAATTCATCGCATCTGTTATCTGTGAAGCCAGGCTTAGTTAAGTGTGTCTAACAAACCCAACAATAACACTAAGTAGCACAAGAAAAGACCTAAATGATGAAATAAAACAGATAGAAGAGGCGTTGGTGTTAAATAACTAACTATCCTATAAAATTCATTAGGAAGATCAGAAAAGGCCAAAATAAAAATAATTGTGAAACTAATAATGATAACATAAATAAGAGAGAATATAAGGCATCTACAGTTACACTATATACGCGAGGGACATCTGAGACACTCCCTACGTAGGATTCTCAATGGAGCAGGAATTAGTGTGGCATTCAGACCTACAAACTCAGTCAGGTAGGACAAGCTCTGCTGGCTGAAGGACCCTATTGACCCAATTAGACAAAATAATATAATTTGCAAAATATCTTGCAAAGACTGTGAGTTAGATGAACTACATAGGTAAAACTGTCAGGACATAAGAATTTAGCTAAGGATAGAATGATTGGCCCGGCGAAGACTGATAAGTAATTTAGAAAAAACTCAGCAGGAATAGCACTGCATGCATTAACACACAACCGTACAATAGGGTGGGAGGGACACAATCCAAATTCTAAAAGGTGATATAGGTAGGTGGATAGCGAGAGAGGTTGATTACTGAATCCTGGTTCATCGAGTCTACACCCAACACATGCAACAGAAATGACCATCATCGCCAATACCAGAGATATGGAAGATACTACTACCAATCAAATCAAGCGATGAGAAATAATGGAATCATATAAACAAAGTTGGAAAGTTGTGTGAGTAGTGTCTTGATATGATTATGAGCCGTAATAAATAGCGCTCGAATCGTGATCATCAGTAAATATTACTGTATAACACTCTGTGAGACTTTATCAAAATAAATTTTATCCACAATGGAATTATACTCTACCACCACAGTGCACAAGTTCTATTCTTAAATCTAACTTGTACTTAGTATTCTTTATAATACAGACACACCTCATCCTCTAGCACTCTGTGGCTCAAAGATACCTAACTGAACTTGATTTTGTCACAAATTACTACATGGAATGTCACATGCAGTAGGAAATATCACTGAAATTACCTATTATCGTCATATTTAGGCGGACAGATTATTAGCATGAATTTTTTATTAATAGACAGAAGACAACTAGTTCAGCGAAGAGTCTCTTTTCGGCGAATTCATTTTCATAGCTGTACAATCACAAATATATATGGTTGTTTTGTATGTGTGTGTACATTAAATTTGTCAAACGAAAATACAATTAGTAAGTTCAGATGAATTGGATGTTGATATAAGAGCGTAGTAACAAAAGTGATGAGTTGTCACAATCGATTGTTAAAGAAGAGTTGCGTAATAACATGAATAGTTTAATGAAAGAGTTGTACTCAGGGTGTACATGGAAACAAAATATACAGGGTTTTAAGTAGA